GATTGTTTTGTTTTTGAGTGCAGTTATGTAAAAATATTTCTACATTTGTAAGTCGCACTTTCACGATAAAGAGATTATATTACAGTACTTGTATGAGAAGAATACTTTTTTTACAGTGCAAATATTTGTAATCAAAATAATATAACTTTCTATGCCAATTTCTCTTATACTGTGTTTTGAAAAATAGATGTGTTAGGCTGATAACCTAAACAGTTTATTATTGAGCACAGTAAACAATGATATACCAGACAGGACCCACTTTCTCTTAAAGTTTTTTGCCTGATTAGAAGCAGTTTAAGTATCTGAGATAGTAAACTGGACTTCCAATATATGTGGGAAACAGTATTGTGAAAGACCAGATAGATGAGGTAATATCTTTTATTGGACCAACTTCTGTTGGTGAACGAGACAAGCTTTTGAGCTTCACAGAGCTCTTCTTCAGGTCTGGGGAAAAGTAATCAGTGTCACAGCTAAATACAAGGTGGAACAGCGTGTTAAGCATAGTTAACACATGTTCTAAGAAACCATTCAGAATGAAGTGGGCAATTAACACCTCTGAAGTCATAGGACAAAGGAGACTTAATGGGTTACAGATTATTGCAATGAGTCGTAAAACTGATGAAAGCAGGGTCTGAATGAGATCTCCCCTGACATCTAGTAATGAGCTTGGGGGAGGGGGGGGGGAAAGACTGTAGGACCAGAGGGTATTTGCATAAACACCTACTCTGCCTAGGTACTCAGGAAACAGCACTGCGTTGCCAAAGTGGTCAGTTTTGGCTGTTGTTGGGTTACAACAAATCACTTTGAATGCAGGGGTAATGATATGATGTTATCCTGATTGTATGAGTAAAGGGCAACAGAACTGTGCTTAGCTTGTTCTGATTGAGGGGGGGGCTCACCCCCATTTGAACTGCACTCGCTAAGCAGTGGGTAGAGATGCCAAAGCCCATTGAAAGGGAAAAGAGGGTGGGGACGGATGTTTCCACTTGGGATAAGTTTTCCTTACGGGCAGGGCTACACTTTAAAAAATAAAATAAAAATAAAAAAAATTTGCAGCTGCCCTAGTGCAGTGTTTCAGTGAAAACACTACTATGCTGACTGAAGACCTTCTCTTGCCGGTGTACTTAATCTGCAACATGAGAGGGGGTAGCTATGTTGATCAGAGAAGCTCTCCTATTGACATAGTGCCATCTACATTGCGGGTTAGACTGGTATAACTGTAAAAAGAAAAGGAGGACTTGTGACACCCTAGAGACTAACAAATTTATTTGAGCATAAGCTTTTGTGAGCACAGCTACATACATCTGATGTATGGGGGAGAGATAGCTCAGTGGTTTGAGCACAGACCTGCTAAACCCAGGGTTGTAAGTTCAATCCTTGAGAGGGTCACTCAGGGATCTGAGGCAAAAATGGGGGATTGGTCCTGCTTTGAGCAGGGGGTTGGACTAGATGATCTCTTGAGGTCCCTTCCAACCCTGATATTCTAGGAAAGCTTCTGCTCAAATAAATTGGTTAGTCTCTAAGGTGCCACAAGTCCTCCTGTTCTTTTTGCGAATACAGACTAACACGGCTGCTACTCTGAAACCATTTATATGTGGGTAGTTTAAATAACCCATTTTTGTTTAATTAGACTTATTTGCCATTCTGTTCTTCCTTAATATCATACATTTAATCTGGAGACCAGTAGTAACACAAATTAGTATCAGAGTGGTAGCTATGTATCAGCAAAAAGAACAAGGAGGACTTGTGGCACCTTAGAGACTAACACATTTATTAAATAATTAACAGCAGAGCTGTGTGCAGGAGCCCAGGCCTGGAATAGCAGAGGGATAGATTCAAGCAGAGATTGAAAAGAATTAGCAGTACTCTAATGCTAATGTGGGAGCGGGGTGCAAGAAATTCAGGACTCTGTAGCAGGGATTGCTGTGTTATATGACTGAAGTGCGCTGGCAGGACTTTGTTGGGATCCAGGACTGACACATCCAGGTGCTGCAGGTTAGGTCTGACTGATTGAGGCTTGTGTAAGGGGACTGTTGCCCCCTTACTAACATTCAGTGGGGGTGTTTTGGTTGGCTAGTTCCCAGTACTAAAAGAAGAAGGGTCAATGGGGAAATCAGGACCCTTAGACTGACAGTCCACAGGGGCAACGGGGAGAAGTAGTACTCCAGGTCAGCCTGAATGACAGGGCGGGCAGGCTAATCAGGGAGTCAGGAGGCCAGGGGGGTCCCCTCCTCTGTGTGAGCGGGAATTGTCTAGGTCAGATAGAGTTGGGTCGAGCTAAGGAGAAAGCAGGGGCCCAAGCTGAGCTGGGGAGCAGAGCTGTGCCAGAGCCAGAGGGGCCAGAAAAGCAGCCCAGGAAGCAGGTCAGAGTTGGGAGCAGAGTCAGAGAAGCAGCCCAGGGAGAGCAGATCCTGTGCTGGGAGCAGAGCTGCAGCCACAGAGCCATGTGTGGTGAGCAACTGGGGCCAGCCAAGGGGGGACCCTGGGCAAAGGGCCCAGTGCAGAAAGACACCCCCAGCCAAGGGTCCTTGCAGGCCAGACTGGGAGGGTGATCTTAACCCGACAAGGGGATGATGCTGGGAAGAAGAGTCCCAGCACCCAAAGCCTGAAGGTGTGTGGCTACCACCAGAGCAAGTGTCCAACCTGCAACGTCCCCGCAGCACATCCAGGGCCTGAGAAGGAGACCTGGGACCTACAAGGAACAGACTGTGAAGTGCCCTGACGTCCAGAGACACTGTTTGTGATGTTCCCTGCCGCAGAGCAGGGTGATGTGTTTTCCTTTAACCTTTCCCATTTTTTCTTATTTTTTTTAATTAATTGTTGATTAAATAACACACATTTGCTTTAAATTGTATGTAATGATCAGTGGGTCAGGGAAGTGCCCAGTGCAGAGAGAGAGAGACAGTACTGGGGCTCAGCTCCCCCATTAAGCTGGCCCATCCTCTCCCAGCCGTGGCAGCTCACATCCAGTGGATACTCCTACCACAGGTACCCCCCCCCAGCACCTCCCAAATATCCATCCCAGTACACAGACACCCCTGGCAGCACCCCCTAAGTGCCCCCTCCAATTTCTCACCCCCTCCGCCTAGTAGTGTCCTCTATTTGGGAACTTGAAATATGGTAACCCTAGGGTTGCTCTGTTCTTACAGCCTTGGTTTCTGGAGCTGGCAGGAGTCACTCCGCCCTGGTAGCTGAGCTCCGGCTGTGTGATCGCAAACCTGGCAGCCATGGCGCTGGAGCAGGGCAGCCTAGGGGAGCAAGGGGTTCTGCTCTGAGTGCAGGGAGAGTGACCCAGCTGCAATGGCAGGTCCCCAGGCAGTGAGTGGGGTGTGACCACGCTGCTGAGAGGCAGGTGCCCAAGGGGGAGCAATAATGCAGGGAGCACCTTGAGGAGCATCTCATGGCAGCCAGACTCCTTGGTCAGGGTCTGGCTCCAGGGGGTTTCGCTGGCTGGCGCTGGGCTCGTTTTGGGGCAGATTGTGTCAGGGGTGCAGCTCGGAGCTGTGCTGCCCATCCTGCCTGGGGAGTGCCTGACCATGCAGAGGCAGCTGGCTCAGGGAGCAGGGCAGGGAGGGCTGATGGGCAGCCAGCCAGGGCACTGGCTCCCACAGCATAGGGGGCCAGACAGCTCCCTCCAGCTTCTAATCTGCTGGCTCCTGGCAGGAGGCAATGGTTTTCAAACTGTGCGGTGCATCTCCCTAGGGATGCGCACTTCACAGTTTGAAAACCTGTGTTAAATGGGAGGCAGAAATCTGGAGGGGCACGTGCCTCCAACACATCACCTCTAGGGGGCATAAATATGATTGATGGCCCTGGGTGCTGAAATGCTTAGTTACGGCTCTGCTCTGAGTTATTACAGAGAATTCTTTCCCAGGTATCTGTGTGGTTGGTCTCATCCACATGCTCCTGGTCCCATGAGGTCAGGAAGGAAGGACTGAGGAGCATTGTCAGAGCTGTGTGGGGAGCCTAGGACTGGAATAGCAGGGGGCTGCAGGGCAGGACTGAGGGAAATAAGCAGTTCTCTGTGAGGGGGTGGGTGTATGCAAGTGATTGAGGACTGAGTAGCAGGAGTTGCTGTGGCGCAGGGTTGAGATGAGCTGGCAGAAATACAAGCGAATCCAGGAGTGGAATGACAGGTGTATCGCAGATCAGAATTGACAGCGCTGCGTGTGGGGAAAGCTTGCACTACCTGTCTGTTACCTGCATTATCAGCCCTCATCTTTATGTGCTCTAATTAAACAGGAAAGATTGGTTTCAGAGTAACAGCCGTGTTAGTCTGTATTCGCAAAAAGAAAAGGAGTACTTGTGGCACCTTAGAGACTAACCAATTTATTTGAGCATGAGCTTTCGTGAGCTACAGCTCACTTCATCAGATGCATACCGTGGAAACTGCAGCAGACTTTATATATACACAGAGAATATGAAACAATACCTCCTCCCACCCCACTGTCCTGCTGGTAATAGCTTATCTAAAGTGATCATCAGGTGGGCCATTTCCAGCACAAATCCAGGTTTTCTCACCCTCCACCCCCCCACACAAATTCACTCTCCTGCTGGTGCTAGCCCATCCAAAGTGACAACTCTTTACATAATCAAGTCGGGCTATTTCCTGCACAAATCCAGGTTTTCTCAAAGAGTTGTCACTTTGGATGGGCTAGCACCAGCAGGAGAGTGAATTTGTGTGGGGGGGTGGAGGGTGAGAAAACCTGGATTTGTGCTGGAAATGGCCCACCTGATGATCACTTTAGATAAGCTATTACCAGCAGGACAGTGGGGTGGGAGGAGGTATTGTTTCATATTCTCTGTGTATATATAAAGTCTGCTGCAGTTTCCACGGTATGCATCTGATGAAGTGAGCTGTAGCTCACGAAAGCTCATGCTCAGATAAATTGGTTAGTCTCTAAGGTGCCACAAGTACTCCTTTTCTTTTTACAGGAAAGACTGTTATGTTTGTTAGTAAATGGACATAAAGCCAAAGCAACTGCAGCTGATTTGGGGCTGTAATATCCTTTTATTATTAGTGCTGTCCATGGTGTCACTAGTACAGCTGCTGAAAACATCCATGGCAAACGTGTGTTCTCCTCTAAAATAAGAATAAAGAGTGTGGGTGTGTGTGAGTGTGAGAGAGAGATGGCAGCAAGGACCCTCAGTGAGGATTTCCAGTCACACTGCAGAGGGAGGAGGAGACCCTGCTGGTGTTGGTCTTGAGAGTGCAGGAGCTCCTGTCTATCGGTTGCACCGATCAGTGCCGCAGCAAATGGCCTTCACTGCAGACCCCCCCATGGCCTTCATGACTTCACATTCATACGTCCTGGAGCATCGCTTAGCGTATTTAGCTGAAGGACAGGAAGAGACAGAGAGGGGGAGATGGAGTAACTCCAGGAATTTAGTGACTAGGCATACTTGGGTGAGGCCACCACTTATTCCCTTTTCACGTTCTGCTTCTCCACCTTTCTTCTTTCTTCTCACCCCTTCCTCTGCTCCTCTTTTCTTCCCTTCCGCCTTATCCATTTCCTTGCTACTTCTCACTGTTTATCCTCCCTCTTCCCTTGTTGCTTTGTCTCTTTTTCCCATCTTCACACCTCATTGCCTCTTGTGGTACCATAGCAGTTATCCAGCAGCTCTCCTTCTGGTTACAATGGGCAGGGTTGGGCTGGACGCTCAATGTTAATTATCTTCAGGCCCCTCCGACACTCACCCAGGCTGGGGAGCTTGGTCAAAGACTTAGGCCTAACCCACCATGGCTGCTATACACTTAGCTCCATATCACATTAGTCTGAAGTATCTGTGACCCTAGCCTGTTCCCCTGCCTCTATCCTCCTTACCAGTGAAAGGGAAGAACATGGTAATACATTGATCCTGGTCATCCCTGCATTTCTGAGTGGTAAAGCATCTTGCTCCATTAGGGCAGTGATAGCACTCCAGAGACACAACGGCTAAAGGAGACAAGAGACAAAACACAGAGGATCAACAGGATAACGGCCAAGGTGCCACCTTTCCTCCAGGAGTGAATTGAAATGCAAGGCCTTCCCACCAATTTTTCTTTGTGGGGGCAGGGTAGATTGAACAGAAGGCTGGCCCAGTAAGTAGGGTGTGACGAGCTTGGAACTTGAGATGTGGGTTCATTTCCCTGGTGTGCCACAGACTGTGATGACCTTAGGCAAGTCACTTAGCGACTCTGTGGCTCAGTTCCCTATCTGTACGATGGGTATAATAACACTGCCCTGTTTCCTAAGGGAGTTGTTTAGGTAAAATCATTAAGGATTGTGAGGTGATCAGATACTATGGTATTGGGGTGGTTATAAGTAGCATAGATAGATATCTAGGTATGGAAACATGTAGATTTGGTAGGCATGTGGAGGATGGATCAGTCTCTGACGTTGTCTATGCTTGTCTGTACTTGCGGTAGCATGTGGGGTAGGCATAGCTACAGGCAGCAGTGAAAGGCTCTGGCAGGAGGGAGGCAGTGGAGAAAGGCTCTGGCACCTCCTTGCTGCTGGAGCCTTTCCCCACTGCATCCCCCGCATAAGAGCCTTTTCCCACTAGCAGAGTCTTTCCCTGCAGTATAGAAAAGCTCCACCGCCGGGAGGCGGTGGGACAATAATATCTAAAAATATCCGTGTAGATGAGGGAGGCATGGCTTGGGCTGGTAGTGAGTTGTGCAATGTATACACCCTACGGTTCAGGTGTGTAGAACATTCTACTCACATAGGCCGTGTCTCACGGCCTGCTATGCTGTTTATCGCTGTACTCGCTAGGCATGCAGCATCTGTACCGTACACCCTGCCATAAGTGTAGAACTCCCCTTTGTCTAACTTTTGCTTTCTAAGGTTTCATATTGAACAAAAGGGTCAGTTAGGAAAACATGAAGGATGGTGAGAAGCAACAGAGGCTTTACAAATGGGGGACCCACCTTGTGCCATCAGCGCTAGGGCGAGCGCACACACAATCAGGTTCCTCATTTTGTGTAGAAAGGCTTTAAACAGACACCTGGGGATGAGAACGAGCAATTTTCTTTAAAAAAAGGCAGTGTCATTAGTGGGCTGCATGTGGAGAGTCAGCACGCCTCAGAGCACGGAGGTGGGACTCCCTTACTAGACAGCTCTGGCCTGCCACTCTGGAACCCTGTGTTCACCTCAGACCCGGAAAGCTATCCGAGTCAGTAGCAGCAATTCAGAGAAGAGCCACAAAAACCACCAGAGGCTGAGGGACTGACCACGGAGGAAAGCTCAAAAGAGCTAAGTACACAGAGCTGGGGTTAGTGATGACAAGGGCCTGCGGGGGGAACATGGTAGCAATCTTTACACAACTGAAGGTGTAAACACCATGGAGGTAACTTTGTAGGGTGCATAAAGGGACATAACGAGGCATGATGGGGGAAAGTTCTGCTGAATATCCTATGTTTTAGTTCATATTTGTCTTGTCTTTTAAGGAAATAACGGTTATAAGGGCTTTGTTCCCAGGGCATTGGAGGTTCGGTACCTGACTAGATGTCATTCTTGCAGTGCACAGGGCTGTTGGTTTAGTCCACCTCAGTGCTGTCACACAGAATAACACAATTGAGCCAATGCAATTCAGCCTTGGTGGTTGTTAAACCTAGGGGGACCCTAGGATACATTGCGTGAATCGTTCCACAATCTACCAATGATGAAGCACTCTTGTATTTGGACACAGGACATGCTAAAGTCACACGAGAGGAAGTGCTCCATTTTGAAAATGATCAAAAGGTCTGGTCTAGACTGGTGGAACTGCTTCTGTCAGTTAGGGATGCTGAGCTGAGTAATGGTTTGCACGATCAGGCCCTCATAATAAAATCACAGGTATTCTCTAAATATCCCCTGCAGTTATTCAGCCTCTTTTTAACTGTCCTGTGAGGGGGTTTATAAACTCCACATTACAAGTGATGGCTTGAGGGGAGCTAAGGAGCCCGACTAGCCCATATTGTGCCACCTAGAACCGGGAGACAGGTAATTCTGGAGTGGATCCTGCTGGGTAGAACCAAACTGGGTGATTCCTATAAAGAAAGGACTGTAGGGCACTAGGGAGAGGAGACTCAGGAGAGAGGTAGGTGGGAGTTTTCTTTCTGGGGGAAAGAAACCATGGAAGTGCCTATAGGAACGATCTGGTATCTTGGCACTATCCCTGAAGGGAGAGGGCAGCTGGGGAGAGGAGACTTCTGAAAGAGGCCTGGGAGAAGAAAAACTCCAGAGAAGAAGCAGTGAGGGTCAGTGGCTTGAAAGGATCTTGGTTTCTATGGAGAAAGTTCTGGAAAGCAGCAGTTTGGAATAAAGTGAGGAAGAACTTTGCAGAGCTTAGAAAGGGGCAAAGAGGTTGTGGAGGACTGAGCCTGGGAAGGGTGGAAGAGTTCTGAATTTGGACAGTGTTACCCCTGGAAGTACTAGAAAATCACTGTCTTGTCATTCAGATCCCTCCAAAAAACTCACTCCTCCCGCTCAGTTTTTCAATGGAAATCCACCAAAGCAGCTAAAACATTTACATACAAAATGAATGGCTCTCACAATGCATCTTCATTTCCTCACCAGTGCATAAGGGCCTGTATTTTAAAACATGTTTTCAAAATTTTGATCTCCAAGTCCATATTAATGCACTTTGATACATGTGGGCTGAGCACTTACTGAATTCAGCATTAGTTGGAGTGGCTCAACATCTCTGAAAATCTGCCACATTTAGTTAGTTGCTTAGCTTTGGGGCCACACACAACTAAAATGTTAGACTGAACTGTTTTGTCTGTAAAACTCATTGGAACAGGGACTATGGACCAGATTTCTTAAAGGGGATTTAGGTGCCTAAAGAGCAGGTATCTCACTAGGTGCCTATCTGCATATTTAGGTGCTTAAATACCTTTTAAAAAACCTGGGATTAGTCTTCATCTACTAATATACACTGTATAGCACCAAGCATGTTGTGGATGCTAAATAACATACTTGTGAACTCTTGCTCTAGAGAAGAGTTAGAGGAAACTCCAACTTCAGTAAAACCAGGGAACACAGGCTGGAGTCACAAACACAGATTAGATTAAATGACACGAAATTGGAATCTGACTGTGTCTAATGCTCAATTTCATGGTCTATTCATGCTGCTAGTTCAAGGAAGGAAAAAAAATCTCACATACCTGGTTTGCAGCTGAAGTGAGGGAGATCTGTTTCATTGTTGCTGTGTGGTGCTGCTGGTTTATATACTTCCCCACATGCCTTTCCCCATCCACTTTGGTCCCACTCAGTAGACCTGGAATTTCCCACATTTGTTGACTTTGTTTTACAATCTCTTTGCACAGGGGAAGAACAGCCTGTAGCAACCTTGAGTAAACTTGTGTTGAAACGCTTCCTTTTGGCTGGGACTCAGCTTTTACGGAAACTGGCAGCTCTTACACAAGGTGGAAAGTATACGGTGTATCTTCCAAAGAGATGAGGAAATATTCAGGGAACCTGGATGGCTGGAGTAAACAAAAGAAAATTCTCTAAGAGGTGCTTCCCACCACAGTAAATCTATGGTATATGCTTATGGCTCAAACCTACACTTTATTTTTTTAGTCCTTAGATCACTGACGAGCGTCATGTCCATTTTTAAAGGTTGCACAGTTGTAGTTTAAATCAGTCTAACTATACCTGTTTAGATACACTGTTTGTGTATGTTCACACAGTAGTGCTCGCATCGGTGTAGCCCCTGTCACGTTACAAACCATGTGTTCACACAGCCGTGTGCAGTCTAGGTAGATCTCCCAGGATTCCTTGCGCTGCTTCTAGGCTTGCTGTATTCCAGGCAATTTTCATAGTAGATATTGGGATACTTCTCAGAGGCCAAGAGAGTAGTGGGAAAAGGGGTCAAATTTCCTTTATCCCATTTGTGCCTTGGAGCCATTTTGAACACTTTCAGCATGGAGGTGGAACACATGAACAGTGGGCTCCAGTCCCTTACTAACTGTGAAAAGCAGATCCCGTCGTATTGGAGATGCTTCAGTGACGCATCCTTAGCAGCCCACTAGACCCAGCAGGATTGTTACAGGAATTGGAATGATGGAGGACCAGGTGATGGATTCCATGGACACGTCTGTATAGTCTGTGTATTTGGTGAACTCTACTCGACAGAGCACGGCTTTGGGGCCTGGCCCATGAGCACAAAATGGGAGGACCAGGCAGTTATTCAGGCCATAGATACACACATGTAGCATTCTGTAATATATCTCTGCCTTTCTAATATGTCTATCCTAAATTCATTATTGGAATGCTCCACTATATATTAGTGACCGACCTTTTTATATAAGTTCTGTTTTCAATAAAGTTTGTATTTCAGTGATTGTGTAAGTACTTATCTTATACATCTAAACTTTGATAAACAATCCTGATTTAGACATACATGCATTTCTAAACAGTCATTTACTTTATTGAACAGTTTTGCAACCCATATTCACATGCCATTTAGTGCTACGGAATATGAGTATTGGTTGAAAAATGGAACACTTTTGTAATAGGATTTTGTAAACATTTCTCAGAATCTTCCTTAACAACTGTGAATGTTCTAATATTGATTACTTTGCTATCTCTTTAAGTAGATATTTAGGAATGATATTTTTCGTATGGGATCTGTCCTCCAACTTTCTTAATAAAGATTAAAAATAATCTACATTTGTAAATTGCACTTTCACGATAAAGAGATTGCATTACAGTACTTGTATGAGGTAAACTGAAAAATATTATTTCTTTTATCTTTTTTACAATGCAAATATTTGTAATAAAAATAATATAAAGTGAGCACTGTACACTTTGTATTCTGTGTTGTAATTGAAATCAATATATTTGAAAATGTAGAAAAACATCCACAATATTCATAACACATTTCAGTTGGCATTCTATTATTGTTTAACAGTGCGATTGAAACTGCAATTAATGGTGATTATTTGTTTAAATTGTTTGCCAGCCTAGTTTTTTCAAATATTTCCAGCAACTGAGCTCTGGTCGCTGCTATGATGAACCTGCCAGGCAGGCATCTACCATTTCCATCAACCCCCTACCTAACCTCCCAGAGTGACAGCACAGCTGTATGTCCCTGAAGCCAGAATATCCTGCAATTGGTCTTCATAGTCTGGAAAGGTTCTGGTGGCCAGGTGTAGGGAGAGACGTCAATATTAACACAAAAATTATGATAAATTTTATTAATGGGTCATTAAACTTGCCTGTGCCTCTACTGAAGTTTAGGATATATTTATCATTACTTACCTACATATGGTGCTTCTCAAAAAGTACCTAACATGCATATATCTATTTGTTAAATTATATGAAATATTCAAGCTATCCAAAGGAATTCCAGCAGGCTTCTGCTTTCTGTTACTGCAAAGACAAGCAAATGTCAGAAAGATCACCCATCGTTAACCATAAAACCATGTTTGTTGCCCCTCTGAGCATCTATACCAAATCAGAAAAGCTGCATTTTAAACTTCCTCTTGCTTTAACTTTCTATATCAATTTTTTATATACTGTGTTTTTGAAAAATAGATGTGAGTTAGGCTAATAACCTAAACAGGTTATTATTCAGCACCGTAAGCAATGATATACCAGCCAGGACCCGCCAGCCTTATAGTCTTTTGCCCAATTAGAAGCAGTTCAATTACTTATGAGATAGTAAGCTTGGCTCACAATATATTTAGGAAACAGTATTGTGAAAGACAAGGTGGGTGAGTTAATATCTTTTATTGGACCAACTTCTGTTGGTGAAAGAGACATGTTTTTGACCTGCACAGAGCTCTTCTTCATGTCTGGGAAAGGTAATCAGAATGTCAGCGCTCAATGCAAGGTGGAACAGCGTGTTGAACATAAATAGTTAACACATTGCAAGAAACCATTCAGAATGAAATTGGCAATTAACACCTCCGCACTCATAGGACAAAGGAGAGTTAGTGGGTTTCAGATTATTGTAATGAGACGTAGAAACGGATGTAAGACGGGTCGGAATAAGCTCTCCCCTGACCTTGCCAGAAACAGACAGGAGTGGAGGAGCTTTGTCACTGCCCTAAACGCCAGAGGCGTAATAGGAACATGATGATGGTGATGATGATAACCTCTAGTAATGAGTTGGGGGATGGGGGGACTTCAGGACCAGACCATATTTACATAAACACCTACTCTTGCGTAGGTATTCAGGAAACAGTGCTGCATTGCCAAAGTGATCAATTTTGGCTGGTGTTGGGTTACAAATTGAATGCATGGGTAGTGAAATGTTGTTATCCTTATCCTATGAGTAAAGGGCAGCAGAACTGTGCTTAGCTTGTCCTGATTTGAGGGGGTCACCCTCAGTTGAACTGAACTCCTTAACCAGGGCATAGGGATGCCAAAGCCCAGTGAAAGAAGAGTGTGGGGGATAGATAGGTCTTCCTATTTGGTGTGGGCTCTGCCTAAGGGCAGGTCTACACTTAAAATGCTGTAGTGGTGCAGCGGCCCCAGTGTAGCATTTCAGTGAAGACACTACTACACTGACAGGAGGCCTTCTCCCGCTGGCATAGTTAATCCATCTCCATGAGAGGTAGATGGTAGCTATACTGATAGGAGAAGCCCTTCTATCGATGTAGCGCCATCTACATTGGGGGTTAGGCTGGTATAACTGCTTCACTCAGTGATGCTGAGTAAGTTTATAGAGCAGACCTGGCCTTCGAGGCCTAGGCAACATTTGACCCTCCCCCTCTCCACTATTTTAGGCAGAACTGAGTAGGCTCAGTCGAGAGTCTTTGTTTTGGTAAGTGATCACCAGAGCTGAAATCACTGATTCTCAGATGTAGCAGTTGAGCCTTGAGGCATGTCTACACTACAAAATTAAGTTGACTTAAGTTTGGGTTGATCTACAGCCATTGCAGTAATTAAAGTGGTTGTTCATGTCCGCACTACCCTCCTTCTGCCAATGGTGTGTGTTGTCATCAGGAGCGCTTGCACCAACTTAAGTGCGGTAGTGGGGGGCAGTCTGCCCCAGGGTAGCAGGGCTCCGGTGGTAAGCCCAGGATGGGCCTGACAGTTTGGGCTGTCAAAGGCAGCAACAGGCAATGCAAGCAACACAGTGTCTATATGGACACTGCATCAACCTAACTACATCGACCAAAGCACTACACCTCTCTTGGAGGTGTAGTTATTAGGTTGGTGTAGTGGGCGACTTACTTTGGCAGGAGCAACCTTGTAGTACAGATGCTTACAGAGTTTGGTTGACATAAGCTGCTTTACGTCCACCTAATGCTGCAGTGTAGACCAGGCCTTAGACCTGCTGTGGGACAGTGTTCAATGAAAGGGATCTCCCAGCTGGCATTGAGGTTCCCCACTACCTACTGAAATCACTGATAGGTGGGTTAAGTGGTGGAACCTCAGAATGTGGCCTCTCAGAGGGTGGCAGGAGAGAAGCAGCCATGCCAGAATGAACAATGGGGGCAGACTGAACAGTGGCAGCAGCGGCTAGAGGTGCCAGAGTGACCAATGGTAGCAGGTGGCCAAGTGAGCAATGGCTGCAGTGGGCAACAATGGCAGAGTGAACGGTGGCAACGGTGAGTCAGTTGTGGAGGAGTCAGCAGCACCTGAGGCATTGCTTGATGTCTCCCTGCCCCCCCAGGGTAGGAAGTGAACCCACATGAACACACCTCTGAACTCTGGGTCCTTGTTGACCAAGGACAACAGACTGTGAGTGGGCGGAGGGAGAGGGGAGAGATGTGCTAAAGGGACATTTGTTCCTCAGACTTTCCCACTGCAAAATGGGAAACTGAGGAAAAGAAAAATGACCAATGCACTGTGCGGTCAGGCTGGCTTTTGATCGCACATTTTTTGAATGTGGTTGTGGTGTTTTCCCAAACTAATGCTGGGTTCCCTTTCTCTTTTATTAAAAGTTATTTTTTGTTATACACAGACTCAGTGCTTCTGAGTGGGGAAGTATTGCTTCTTAGAGGTGCCCATGGGTGGTGTTAAGTTTTCCCAGATTACTGGGTGGGGGTTCGAGCCCATTCTGGTTTGTGTTGTTAAGAGGGGCTCCTAGATATTGAACCCAGCCCTTGTTGCTAACAACTTCCCCTCGCAGAAGGGTTACACCGATGTTTCTGTTGAGTCCATGATATTTGGTGTGTAGTGGAGTTCTTGACTTAAACTCCCAGGCTGGTCTATGGAAGGTGGAGTGCAGGTTTCCTCTGAGGATGAGGACTGAGTAGTCAGATATGGAGTGGTCATTTTGTGAAGTGTTCACCGACGGAAGACAGGTTTTATGTCTTTATCATTTTTCTGTGTGAGTTCATTTGAGAGTGTAGTCATTATCTAGTTAACTCTTATAGCTGTTGTTGGGGCATTTGATGCACTGATGAGGTACACCACATGTTGTGATAGTCATATGTAGGGCCCCTGGATATTAAAAGGTGTGTTGGGGGGGGGGTGTTCATCATCCTAGCAGCGGAGATATGTCTGTAGGTTTTGTATCTATTCTGGCAGGGTCTTGGAGCTGGTGTCTCCTGGTCTGTGGGGAGCTTGTTTTAAATGATGAGCTTGGCAAGTTTGGTGAGGGGGGGCGGGGGAGTGTTTGAAGACCAGAAGAGGGGGTTCAGAAAAGATTTCTTTCAGGATGTGGTGCCCATCAAATATGGGTTGTAATTGTTTGATACTGTGACCAAATGCACCCCTGTATTCACACTTTACAACACTACTGGGATAATATTTTGTACAAAATATGACTTGTGAGGTATCATTTGAAAACTAATAACTCACCAGTCAATAATATCATGGTGAAATGTATGTATGTATGTATGGGCCATCACCTGGGAAGTGGCCATTCTTTGGCAAGGAAAGAGGGCAGGAACAAACAGATTTGCATCTTAGCAAACAACAGCAAAAAGCCTCCCCTCCACCTGATTCCATGTCTCCTTACTCTCAACTGGAAAGAACTTTACCTAGGGGGTTACTCTCAGGAAAATGCATTTCAAAGAGAGACTGGACTATAAAAGTGAGGGGCAAAACATCCCAAGTTATCCCTCCCTATCCATTTCTCTGGAACCCAAGAGGACAAAAGAATCCAGCTCTTTGACTTTGGGTGGGATCCTGACCTGAAGATTCATCTGTAATGCTGTTAGGAGCATGTGATAAGAATTTTACCTTGAATCATGCCTAGGTTGTAAAGTTTTAGTATCAGGAAGTGTTTTATCTTTATTTTTCTTGTGACCATTTCTGACTTTAATACCTCATTACTTGTACTCACTTAAAATTGATCTCTTTGTAGTTACACTTTTTGTTCTTTAATCACAATCAACACAGTGTTGTGAACTGTGTGGGTAATTCCATTTAAGGTGGCAAGTTGTTGTAAGGGAACAATAAACAGGGACAATGGACCTAAAACATCTAAACTGTCCAGGAGAGGGCTGGACAGTACAGAACACCTTTTTGGGGGGAGGGGGAAATTTGGGACTGGGAGTGTGTTGAGGTTACCTTGCAAGTAATAAACACGGCAGGAGTTTGCTGACAGGCTGCTTGGATCACAGTTGCTGAACCAGAACCGTGGCCCTAGGCAGACTCTCAGAGTGAGACCTGCATGATGTTTGGCTGTTTGTGAGGAGTCCAGGTTGGGAGCTACAGCAGCAAAGCATTCTGAGGCATCCTTGGTTGCAGAGTAGGGGTGACACAACCCCACAGTGGTTATGACTGCATCCTGAAATGTAAATGTAAATGTAAGCTGTAAGGGCCAGAGTGGGGTCATACGTGACAACGAGGGGTGCGCAGTCAGTGTTTTTTTCTGTATTGGATGGCCCATTTCATAAGATGATCTACTTCTCTGTAGTGTCATTGTTTGGTGAAGGTGGTTTTAAGTATGTTAAGGTGTGCATGCTGGACTGCTTCCTTGGAACATATTCTGTGGGATCTGAGTTCCTGGCTGGAGAGAACAGATTTCTTGGTGTGTGTGGGTTGCTTGCTAGATCTGTGGAGGTAAATCTGGAGATCTGTGAGTTTCCTGTATATAGTTATCTGTAGGGTTCCCTTGTTGAAGCTGACTGTGGTGTCCAGGAAGTTGACGCTGTGTGCGAGTGTCCTAGAGAGAGTTTGATGGATGGGTGGTTGTTGATGAACTTGTGGAGCAAATCTATGATTGTGACAGATAACAGCAATTTCCTGCAGTATCCTGGACAAATCTTAATTCAATAAATTAAATCTAACCCATGTTAATTGTATGTATCATTGTGGACCAAG